CCTTTTTGAACTTGGGTATTTTTCTTAAGAATTCAATGCTTAAGAGTTCAGTCGCCTACGTTTGACAAGGTGAGCGAGTTGGGATAATCGCCCTGAAGTTCCAAAGAACGCGAAGTCACTTTTAACTGCGCTTTTCACAAACATGCGAGGTCTAAAGTTCATAAGCCGCCTTCACAATTGCGTTTTTCGCTGCCGTCAATCATAATTACGATCAGAAGCAACGAACCTAGAAACACAGAAACACACAAAACGGATCGAAATCCACCAATCACAAATCACAAACCATGGCCTTTTGAACCCGTTAAAGTAAAGTTTTGTTTCCTAAGAAGTCCGTCAAGATGATTGACGGCAGCGAAAAACGCAATCGTCAGTTGGCTTTTGAACTTCACAATTCGCATGTTTTTGAAAAGCGCTGTAAGGTAACGTTTCATGTTCGCACGAAAAGGTATTCGTTATAGTGTGGTTCCTAATATTCCCTGACTTCTTCCACAGGAAACGAAACTAACGAAGCTCCTTTGCCGCTTGTTTCACCATATACATCGAAAAGCGAGGAGGAAATAAACAAGCAGATAAACAGAGAGCTGTTTGCCCATTACACTTACTTGTCCATGGTAAGATTTAACTGATAACGAAGAATCGATTGACCGACCGGCGTAAAATAAACGTGATTCGCTCGCAATTGATCTTGCTGAGGCATTTTACCTTTGGCATGTCACAGGCAGCCAAAGCTCGAGAATGTGATGTCGCAACAATGATCATAACTTGTTCGCCAATCATTGGGCAGATGGACATTTGCTTGTTACTTTACTGTATTGATCTATCAACGTCTGCAAACTGTTGTGAACCATCGTCAGCGGTGAATCAGTCAAGACGGATTGCTAGGTTTCCAACTGCACGGAATTCTCAGTCTATTATTAGTATCACTCCTTAGTTCGTTGACGGCACAATCCAATCCGCGATGGCGGCTTTAACAAGTGATGGATTTGATATTTCTAAAAGTGTATTTGCCGCGATGTATTTCGCAAATTGTAAAGTTAATTCGCAGACACACGTTTGGCTTCTCCCAACTATATCAATACTCAATCAAGAAAAAAAGGTGGCGAGAATTAGTGAAATGATCACCAAACGGAAAATGCTTTGACCTTTTAGCAATTTCTCTGAACTAATTTTTCAAGGAACGTATGATCAGTTTTTACAATTTGTATTTGGATATTGTGGCTTAAAGAGTTTAGCAATACACCTCCTTGACTGTCCTTTGTCTGTCCGTTATGTACTGGTGTCTGTCCGCTATATTGAGGTGTCAAGGTCACTTAGTAGAATATCTGATTTAAATACTTTACTTCTTATTTTTCAGGCCATGCACTTTGATCGTGACGACATCAACCTTCCTGGATTCCACAAGTTCTTCAAGGAGTCGGCAGAGGAAGAGATGAAGCATGCGCAAAAGGTTATTTAGACAGTTGTGACTTATTTTGTCACTTTTTGAACATTTTATTTGAACTCTTGGACGCAATTTAGACAACCAGAGACAATGAAAATCAGGCTTGAAGCGAATGTGGCGGCCGGCAACCCGCTCAAAAACAGATTAGGAGGGGCCCGCCGGAAGGGTAGGAAACGCTTCAAAAAAGAATATGATAAAAGTCAACTTGAATATGCTAACTGAACATTTTTATATTTGCTCACAGCTGATGAAATATCAGAACATGCGTGGAGGTCGTGTTAAGTTACATCAGATAATGGTAAGGAATTTGTTATTCTTCAGCGCCACAAAAAAGAGAAAAGTTTTGATGCGTAAACTATCTCATAAATCACCACTGTAAATGGCTCGTAAAGGAAAATGCTTTGATCTCTAATCAATTCCTCTTGACTAATTACTTAAGGAAATGTAGGAATTTCAGTTTGGAGAATTTCTATCTGGATATCCTGGCTCAAAGGGTTGAAGCAGCCCAGTGGAAAACACTTTTAGGAAGCTTAAGCAACGACGACGGCAACGGCTATGGCTACCATAACTACGTGCTTCAAACTTTATCGCGCTTGTTACATCTTGTTCAGTTCGTCAAATGTTGGCAGTTTTTGTGGAGAAAACGATTGTATCGAAGTTCAGGAAAAGAAAAAGAAAGTCTTTGGCTTGTGTTCACGTCCTCAAGAAAACGTGAAATTAGGCATTTTCACGTCGTAGTCGTGCAGTGACGGCAAAGAAATGTACAAAAAAACGTGATGCACGTGCAGAGCTGTTTTTTTTCCAATCTAAGACCCTGTTGACATGGAGTGGGGGACCCCGGTCTAGTGGGGTAGGTTTCTTTTGTTTTGTGTCCCCCAGAGCGTGAAAACAAAAGAAACCAACCCCACTAGACCGGGTTCCCCCACTCCATGTCAACAGGCCCTAAACCTATTGCTTTTTTGCCCTCGTTGATGTCGTCGTCGTCGTTGCTGAAGCTCCCTAGTAGCTGATGCTGGGTTTTTGTTTTATCTTTAACAGAAGCCTTGTAGGGATCATTGGGGAAATGGTTTGGATGCCATGAAGGACTCCCTGGCGCTTGAAAAGGACGAATATCAATCATTACTGGACCTTCATGACGTGTCACAAAATGCCAATGATCCGCAGGTACAGAATTTAGTTTTCTGCAACCACACCCACTCCCTGTGGTGTCTTTTCTTAGAAACTCATGAATACGCGAATCGTGTTTTGGCAGGTACATGCACGGTAGCCGAAATTTTTCTTGGGTTAATGCAAAGACAAATGTAAGCAATGTATTTATGAGTTTCCCACGGTTTCTTGTTTGATTATCTCTTGGCGATATCGAGCTAAAAAATAAGCTCTCCTTTTTCTGCTTTCGCGTGACTTCTCACAATATTCAGTTAATTCACCATTATCACATTGCCCATAATGCACCTTGTTTATCCCTCAAAATTTTGCGTAAGTATTGTTTTTAATTTCTCTTGGGACGACTGTAATACCCAGGAGAAATTGGAAGCAATGGGTATATTATGGGCATTATGAAAAGGCCCTGTCCACACCAGTGCCTTTTCAAAAGTATGCATTTTCCTTGTCATCAAAAACGCATCAATCAATTCGCGTTCACATGACCTTTCGCGATGCCATCACTGGTTTCGCACAATGATGTCTGAAGAGCGAGCGCAGAAATTCTGTACTGATGATGCGTCACTAGCCTGATCTTGGTTGTGTAGTGCTTCTGATTGGATGAACGCACGACCAATTAGAAGCACCACTCAGATCTGATAGTGACACATGGAATTTCTGTTTTTTCCTCAGATGTCTTTTCGCGGGTAGACCAGTGGTGGCCTCGCCAAATGTCGGCTGTTCTCTCGGGCTAGAAGATACCACGATGTCATAGCAACTGCAACGTCAAGAGAACGAAAACGTGAAAAAATGAAAGCAATTATAGGTGTAGATAAGAAAAAAACAACAATTTTAAACGTGCAGGACACAGTTTTTTGGTAAATTTCTTTGCCGTCAGTGCACTACTACGACGCAAAATTGCCAAATTTCACGTTTTATCGGGATCGTAAACAAAGGACGATGAATTTCTCCCTCCCTTTTTGAACTTGGGTATTTTTCTTAAGAATTCAACTCCAGAAGAGTTCAGTCGCCTACATTTGACAAGGTGAGCGAGTTGGGATAATCGCCCTGAAGTTCCAAAGAACGCGAAGTCACTTTTTACTGCGCTTTTCACAAACATGCGAACTCTAAAGTTCATAAGCCGCCTTCACAATTGCGTTTTTCGCTGCCGTCAATCATAATTACGATCACAAGCAACGAACCTAGAAACACAGAAACACACAAAACGGATCGAAATCCACCAATCACAAACCATGACCTTTTGAACCCGTTAAAGTAAAGTTTTGTTTCCTGAGAAGTCCGTTAAGATGATTGACGGCAGCGAAAAACGCAATTGTCAGTTGGCTTTTGAACTTCACAATTCGCTTGTTTGTGAAAAGCGCTGTAAGGTAACGTTTCATGATCACACGAAAAGGTATTCGTTATAGTGTGGTTCCTAATATTCCCTGACTTCTTCCACAGGAAACGAAACTAACGAAGCTCCTTTACCGCTTGTTTCACCATATACATCGAAAAGCGAGGAGGAAATAAACAAGCAGATAAACAGAGAGCTGTTCGCCCATTACACTTACTTGTCCATGGTAAGATTTAACTGATAACGAAGAATCGATTGACCGGCGTAAAATAAACGTGATTCGCTCGCAATTGATCTTGCTGAGGCATTTTACCTTTGGCATGTCACAGGCAGCCAAAGCTCGAGAATGTGATGTGGCAACAATGATCATAACTTGTTCGCCAATCATTGGGCAGATGGACATTTGCTTGTTACTTTACTGTATTGATCTATCAACGTCTGCAAACTGTTGTGAACCATCGTCAGCGGTGACTCAGTCAAGGCGGATTGCTAGGTTTCCAACTGCACAGAATTCTCAGTCTATTATTAGTATCACTCCTTAGTTCGTTGACGGCACAATCCAATCCGCGATGGCGGCTTTAACAAGTGATGGATTTGATATTTCTAAAAGTGTATTGGCCGCGATGTATTTCAAATTGTAAAGTTAATTCGCAGACACACGTTTGGCTTCTCCCAACTATATCAATACTCAATCAAGAAAAAAAGGTGGCGAGAATTAGAATTAGTGAAATGGTCACCAAACGGAAAATGCTTTGACCTTTTAGCAAATTCTCTGAACTAATTTTTCAAGGAACGTATGATCAGTTTTTACAATTTGTATTTGGATATTGTGGCTTAAAGAGTTTAGCAATACACCTCCTTGACTGTCCTTTGTCTGTCCGTTATGTACTGGTGTCTGTTTAACATTAACGCGAAATGTAACAACTTTTGACGCGAAATGTAACATTAACCCGAAATGTAACAACTTTTGACGCAAAATGTAACAACTTTTTAACGCGAAGTGTAGCAACGTTTTGACGCAAAATGAAACAATATTTTTAACGCGAAATGTAACAAGCAAAATGTTACAGCCTTGAAATAACTGAGAGACTTGGACATGAGCCTTGGAGATAAAGTGTAAATTGTCTGGTGGTTACAAAAACAGTATATTCTTAAAGTTTTCTTATAAAAAAATAAACTTACAAAAGGTTGTAAAACAGGTGTTAAAGTTATAACCTTGGAATAGCAGTATGGACAATAGCAACAACTCTAACTTATTAAACATAGCGTATGGAAAATATCCCAAGCTATGCGAAAAGAATATGACTAGAAAACAATAACACCGTGGGAAACACGCACTAATCAGCAATGGAAGTGCAAGTTCAAAGTAAAAGTAAAAGTTGAGAAAGGTAATCGTTCAAAAGAAAATTTTGAACGTAGTCAATAAGATAGATATGAAATTTCTTAAATCCCCAAGCAGTATAACTCACAGGGTCATTAATGTACCCAAGCTCCCCCTCTATGACAAGCTAACAGTACACAGGGTAGTCTGAAACTTCTTACCGGTACTCATTCTCTTTATCCCGGCTGGGACATAAAGCCGCCACAATCAAATTTCGCCACTATACCCTGTCCTGATCTTTGGCCTGTACTTCACCCCATGTTAGACCCCACTCCTCCAGCTCTTTCATCACTGTTCTCCCCCAGGTTGTTTTTGGCCTCTTTTCCTCTTTCCAGTTGGGCTCCATCTCATAGCAAATTTGATTATCCCGTCATTGGGTATCCTTAGGACATGAATAACCAAGCCATCGCAGCCTGCGGTTCTTAATTAAGTCTGAAACCAATGCACGTCGTTAAATGAAGTCAGAAATCTTAAGCTTTGAGAAGTAGCGATTTACTGGTTTTTATCTCTTCGCGACATCGAAGGAGTAAAAAAGCTCTCTTTCCCCCGCCTTTTCTCTTGCGTGGCTTTTTTCCCGCCAAATGGAGAGCCTGCTCGCAGGTTATCAGCTTAGAGACTGCTCAGTGTGAAAACCACTCCTTCACTAGTCAATCAGTCTGGCAGATAGATAATGACATAATGTTTTTTTTCTCTACAGCTACGAGACTTTTTGGAATCAGAATACCTTGGCGAGCAGGTTGAAAGTATCAAAGAGCTATCAAACTACATTAACACCCTCAAACGGCTTGCCAAAGAAAACTACGCTCTCGGCGAATATCAGTTTGATCAAGTAACTCTCGGAGGCGGAAGCAAGGAATAGACTTTATGACTTTATAGAATTAGAATTTTGTAATGCAGTGGGTCTTGAATATGTGTGGAACATTGAAAATTCCTAGGTGAGAATCGTGCCAGAAATTTAAAATAATATTTTTGAAAATTTTCAGCCCTGTGAAATCATGAAGTTATGGCAGGTTAGGTTGGGAAAATCCCAAACGATCGGGAATTTTACTGTTTCCTGACCTTCCCAGATTTGGCCGCCTTATGAAAACTCGAACTCGCAGACATTCCCAGTCGTCTTGGATGATCGGTTTTCCCGATGCGTTCGAGATTTCTGCGATGGTCGGCGATCATTCTCGACATATGAAAACTCAAATTTATTCTGTCGAGGATGTCGGGTATCGATTGGCTATCGTTTTTTGAACAGTGCCAATCTCCAAACTACTTGGTTCCAGTCTTTCCTCTTATAAGTCAATGGCGTCCGGGATAAATTCCAAGTTTTTCCTGACATATCCGCGCGGCGGTGAAATCTGGCTGATCGGGAAACAGCGAAATCCCTGATCGTCTGGGAGGCTTTTTCTTCTGGGATTCTCAGTGCATATTACAATCAGGCTTAAGTTTTAACCTTTTACTCTTGTTTTGGTATTGTTTAACCTCTTATGAAAAAAAAAACATTTACACTAGTTTTTCACGTAGTCCCTGATAGTACTTTTGCGACAAATTTATTTTGAAACAAAAATTATAATTATCACTATTATTATTAATCCACAAAACAATATTTATTGATTAGCAAGGGTAAATTGATTAGTTTGTGATTGTTCTTATATATCCGGCGTTGTCAAGTCAGATCAAGTGTATCAAGTGTAACTTTCACGTTCACTATTTGATCAGTAAATGTCTCAATATCGAGGCAGACGACATGGTTGACTTTTATTTTCCCCCGTGGGTCCCGATAGATAAAGTTCGGTCAAGATGGTTGGATATTGGCCTTGTTCCTTTCTGCGTTTTTATTATTGGGCTGCCTGTGGCAAAGCAAGATAAAGTTTTGAGTAGGTGAAAAAAAACACAATTAAGATGGCTCGACTGGATTTTTTAGAGAGTATACTTACCCACTTTCAGCGTTTACTGCCTCGCAATAAAAAAAGATATCAGGAAAAGATTACCACAGCTGTACTATATGAAAATTAAAATTTTCCTATGATTACAACGTAGTGACGCCATTACGTTTTTTACTTGACTTTGTGCCAGGAGGACAGGTATTGCAGAAAGGCTCAATACTGAATAATACATTTCTTTTGTTTCCATTCCCCCAAGCCTCAGAGCAAAGTATGAATTTAAATATATCGAAAATGGTCTATAACCGTGAAATTTGTAGGCTTGGACCAAATTACGACAAAAATGGTAAAGAAAGCAGCCGAACGCACGCTAATCAAATTCTTCCTTCTCGCAATCGGCCAAAGCAATGCCCCTCTTTTCTCGTCACAATTTCAAATAGAATCAAACCACTATGATATGAAACTACATTTCTAGACCTCATCATTTTCTTAAGATATTTATCAATTATTCCTCGAGCCCGAACGGGCTCTGAGTCAATAGACCATGAGGCCGAAGTTTTAGTAAAAGCCAGCCATAGTTGGTCCAAAATATAGAGACAAAACAACATTAGGGTGATTCAGCGATCATTGTTTTGGTTTTCAAAACCGGCGCTTTTCGCCACTAGCAGGCTATAGCCTAGTAGTAGCTCAACCAATTAGAACGCAGCATTGATAATAGACCACTAGTTGGATTTTAGTAATTGCCAATTATTTCGATAGCATGTTTATTCACTGTTTTTATGACCCTTAAAACTTTGAGGCAATTAAGGGAGGTACAAGCTCCGTTAAGCGATTTCTGAAAAAACTCCTGGCACCAAGAAAAACAAAGGCGAGTAAACATTACGTTGCCATGGCAACTCCGATGTAAATGGAACATACTTTATAGCAATCTTCATCTTTATGTAGTACAGTTGTGGTAACCTTTTTCAGATATCTTTGTTAATGCCGACGTAGTAAGCGCTCAAAGTGCGGAACTATATATACTCCCTAAAAAATCCAGTCGGGCCACCTTAATAGCGGACGCATAACCAAGAGGGCTTTGCGTGTCCCATCTCTATTGCAATTATGGCGCGTTATTAGGGTCAAAATTAATAATGCAAACTTTTTTTTAAGATGACTTTCGAATTGCAACTCTTGTGGCATGATTAATTGCTAATGTAGTTTCTTTTGACATTTTTTGCGAANTCCCTAAAAAATCCAGTCGGGCCACCTTAATAGCGGACGCATAACCAAGAGGGCTTTGCGTGTCCCATCTCTATTGCAATTATGGCGCGTTATTAGGGTCAAAATTAATAATGCAAACTTTTTTTTAAGATGACTTTCGAATTGCAACTCTTGTGGCATGATTAATTGCTAATGTAGTTTCTTTTGACATTTTTTGCGAAAACTTGCTTCTTTCTGCACGTTCCATGACGTACAAGTGTTTTTCTTTACCATTACTTAATTGCAACTCTTGTTACATGGTTAATTGCCAATTGAGTTTTTCTTCACATTTTCTGCGAAAACTTACTTCTTTCTGCACGGTTCTTGGCTTGAGACATAAACAATCGCAGCTATTTTCCGAACATAAGAATGACTTTACACGCAAGATTATTTCCGAAATATCAAAACTCTTACCATAAACATTCTTTATAAAGCTCTGTTTCTAATACATCAACGTAAGACACCCGCCCAGGGTTAATATCATATCCTGGGCTTTCTATGACAGAGGGACTGCTTATCTTTGCAAAATAGCACTTTATGTGTATGGTAAGACTGCAAGTTGGAATTCAGCCCGCGTAGCAGGCGTCGAAAGGGACAAGGGATTGGGGGAAGGTAGAGGAAAAGGGAGTGGAATTTCCCCGTTCGCGCTTTTCTCCCTCCCCCTCCCCCTGCCCTCCCCCTCGCCTCTTTGCGCCTGCCACGCAGGCTAGCTTGGAACCAGAATGGGGAAGCTTAGTATTTCTCATGTAATTAGCAGTGAATAAACTTCAGTTATTAAATGGTATTCGTTTGCTTACGCAAACTATTAGGGACCTATGCTACGACGTTTGCGACGTACATGAAAACGTCGCTGAAAAATAGATTTCGTATCCTTTCAAACTCTTTAATTTCACGATTACCCAAATTCCCCTTGTTTAGTAAATAAAAGAAGGGAATTTGTGTTAAAGCTGAAGAGAGGGGGCCCCGCCCGAGTTCAGACCGAGATGTTGGAATTTATAGCCTTGCTATTCGAGTTCTCAAGTAAACTTAAAATTTTGTCATTTCACGTCGTAGTCGTGCAGGGACGGCAAAGAAATGTACAAAAAAGCGCGATGCACGTGCAAAATTGTTGTTTTGCCATTAAACCTATTGCTTTTTTGACGTTCCCGTTCCCGTTCCCGTTTCCGTTGCCTTCGTAATTTTGTACAGCCCCTATTGTTTTTACATCGAGAGAGTTAACGTAGGTTCTTATTGTGTTTCGGCAATGAACCTTCTCTAATCTAATGCGGACTCGTCTACTAGGTTGGGAGTCCACGTCGGTCTTCCATCCTGCCGCTGAACGGCGCGAACGCGGAGCGGTTTAGACGGCCGAAAACTGAGCAGTTAAAGACGAGCAAAGATGCTGCTGCAAATGGCCATGTGCCGACATTCATTTTTCATTCATTTTCATTTTCATCTAGAGGCGGGTTTTAAAATATTTTCGGATGATAGTAATGTAAACGATACAAAAACGTTAACGTGGACGGAAAACATTTTATCTGTTTTCAAAGCGAAAAAAAAACATAATTTCGTTCAGTTCCTCTATATGGGTTTCATAGAAGAAAGCAGTTGACATTTTTTTTCACTCTTTCCCAATGCTATTTATTTTATTATAATTTTAACGTTATGTTACCCTAGCGAATAGCCCTTTGTATTTTACCGAAATCATGAATAAAATGAACTGATCTTTCACGCATGAGAAATTAACATGGCGTGACAAGCGATTACGGTGGAAGTCGATCAAGGAAGCTCGAAGAGGAATGGCGAGGCAATTTAAATCTACTCAAAATTTGGACATTGATTGAAGCTCTTTACAAGCAGATGAGACATTAACTCTTGACGTCTTCTTTAGTGGGTCAAGCGGCGGAAATCTCTCTAAAAGACCATTTAGTTAACGAGAAATGTCATTTTTAATAAAACACGTCCGCGAGGCCTCACACTATCCCATTGTTTGCGTAAATTAAAACCCAATAGAAACATTTATTGCAGACAAAGGTCCTGAATGTTAATGTATCTGTTGCCAGAGCGACGATGGACATACTCGATAATTGAACATCTTCATTCTCAACAGCACAATCTTGGGGTATTCGAGAATAGCCATCTGTTCAGTTCGATAAATTTTGAAAAGCTTTGGAGCTCGAGAAATGAGTAACAATCAAGACGAAAGCGACGAAGAGAGCTGTAGAAAGCGCCTTACAGTTCCTAGCGGCTTTAGAAACCTACTTGAAAATCTCACCTTGGAAATTTTGCGGTCGAACCCAAGTGACATTTACAAATTTGCGGCTGAGTATTTTAAATCAAGGTTGCAGGAAAGACAAGGTAGGCGTGTACAATACTGTTGTTATATCTGTAATCGTATTTGTAGGACTTGTAGTTTAAGAATGAAGAGTCGGTCGCTCGAGGTACAAGACAAGCGCTTGGATTTTCGCGAGGTCTTTATCAATAACACAGTTACTCAAACATGCGTCACTCGGCGCTGTTCACACTTCCAAAAACAACATTCGATCTGATTTTGTTTCCTTCCAAGTTTTAGTACCACGTGTATCGAAACAAGATTTCATATTTGCCCCCTATCCTTCTGAAAATCAATAGTACAGTTTTCTCAAAAGCTTTCAAACATGGAAAGTCCTATCAGTTTTTACATCAGTTGTCCTCTCAGCTGCTCCGTTGACTATTTTTAAAGGACTATCCAGGGTGATCGGTTTTGTTGATGTTTTCTTGCGAGTTACAACATATTTTAAAGCAAAAAGTGGCATTTGATCACCTTGTCAATCCTTGTAATTTTGAACGTTAAATACGGCTTCAGTCTTGTTGAATGAAATTGTCAAGACAGTACAGGAGCAATCGACACGTCGAATGATAATGAATGAGTCGCCCCTACTGGGCCAATTTCCATGTCAGGGTAATTTTCGGTTCATTAAGAAAATCAAACGAGTTTCTCTAAATTGAAAATTATACATTATATTTTAAACTTCGTCATGAATGAAGTCAATAAGAACTTGCCGAAGTTCTTGCGAAGTGTGACTGCCTATTTATTTTGAGTCCTTAAGAGAAACACTGTGGTCCATTGTGACTGACGAAAGTGTGGTTTTTCAGCTGTCCCCGACAATGTTTACATCTCTTAGTCAGTGTTTTGCAAAGTAAATTGGACTTTCGATGTACGTTAGGGTTAAATAAATGCAGATTTGTGTTATAAAATACTTTTATTTTCACTTTTGAATTTCCTTTGAATCGTCAGCACAAATTATGGTTTTTCTTCCACGAACTCAAACGTTTATCATGATCATAACTACTGTACTTTTTGTAGGTTTACATTACTTTAATTCCATACCGACTGGGCTTTAGAAGAAGGGAACAGCTAAGCCCACGTTGATATAATAAGAAAGAAGCCTATAAAAATAATAATAATAAAAAAACTGGTATAACTTAAAACCGGAATAAAAAAAGAAAGAAAAATTAGTAATCCGCAGAAATTAACTCCACGGTCAAATTTAATTTATATCGGTTTCAAGTAAAAACGTTTTGACTGTAGATATTGACAGTATTGACTGTGGGAAAAAGGGACCCTGTAAAAGACAGGGATCAAATCCGGGGATCACATTTATTAATTGACCATATATTAAAGAGAGCGAGATCTGAGGAAATTGTATTTTTTTTTCTGATGTTGTTTCGCCTTATTTCGGCTTAGATAAATACAACAAATCTGAATGCAATTTAGTTAAGAATCGCAACTTTTAACTTATTTCCAAGACGAAAAACCAGTTACAGCAACTAATTAGTTCAAGCAAAATGCCGGTCATTTCCGTAATTGTCAATCCTACTATGTAACTCGATTTTTGAAGGGTAGGTTAACCACGTTTTCACTACCCTGCGAGCAGAGTCTCCTTCGATCTTATCTAGGAAGATCGACGGAGACTGTGCTCGCAGGGTACGTTTTCACCAAGGATTATAGTCAAAATGCGATCAAAGAGGTTTGCTCTCATTGCAGTGAAACTACTGTTTTAATGTTGAAGACAAGAAGATGGTTTAGATTTTGAAATATTTGTTTTAACCTTTCGTTTTGCAACTGCTGATAACGGTATATTTTTGGCTATCTAACGGGGTATCGGAGATTGAGTGGTTGCTGAATATTGTTTAAATAGATGTTTAACACTGCAATGTTCCTAATGATTTACTGAAATGCAAATTCTTTTTTTTAACCATAAAATTACTTATCAGTTATTCACCATTTGCACATCTCCCAAAACATACCTTATTTGCACCCCATAATTTTGCATAAGCATTGTTTTACATATCTCTCGGGACCACTGTAATACCCTATCGATACATCCAAAAGAGTATCGAATAGAATTTCCGAGAATTTTCTTCTTAAAAATGGATTTAGATGCATCTCTCCAGTCAGAAGGAATTAGGTTCGATACTTTTGCTCCAGTTCTTGAAAATGAGCGTTTGAAAATTTGCAACCTACAGCGAAATTCGCCGCCATTTAAGTGATGAAGGACCAAAAAGGAGGTTTTTTTTGCGCCGGAAATGCTCCAAAAATCAACGGAAAAGAAATGGAGAAAAAAAACTAAGAGCGAGAAGAAAGGGAAAAAAAGGAATGTATGGTTGCTTTTTAAATTGGCTTTACTTTGGAAACGAGAAGGAAGCTTTCGAAAAGACGTCTGGGACTATTTCTAAGGACAGGGGAAAAAATTGGCCAATAGCTGACCGACGCGTCCCCAGTAGCGATCCCAGAAATAATAGCGGGACGCATCTCGGCTCCAGTCCCCTTCTCGTATCTAAAGTGGCGATTTCCCCGAAGAGGTCAGGATGTGCCCGACGAAATATTGGAAAGAAAAAGCCTAAGCTCATTGCTGTACAACCAGCCTTGCTTTTTTACTGTTTGTTTACAGAAATGAAAATTTGCTGATTAGATCCAGCAGGATCTGCACCTTTGTTTTGTACGTTGACCCTCGCTACTTGTGACAATATCACCACCGCATGCAACCTTATCCTGCTTGCTGTTCAGGTTACGTCTTCACGGAAACTGCCTCAGTGTTGTCTTTAAAAAATAACTAAAATATCGAAAGAAGTATCTGAATAGTTTCTACCATTTTTAACTTGGTGGTGGGTCTGCCCTATTGATCTTTTTTTGACACTCGATTCAGAATGGTTCTTAATCCCCATAAAAAGGAGGAAAAAACCCGCGAAAATTGAAGACTTGATGATCGTTCCGCAGCAGATGGAAACTCTCTCTGACCACCACTCATTTCATCTATAAATAACGTTTAGCTTTTAACTCCATGAAAGTGCTTTGTTTAAACTTTTCTTTTTAAACATTTTTTTAACGCAGAGCGAGGATTTGATGATTGCCTTTTGGGGTCACAAATAGATGGATATTATCGCTACGAACCGTTTGGAAGCAAGCAAGAGAGTCTTGATAAAGCGGCCACGAAAATTCAATCTACTTTCCGTGGCCACAGGGCAAGGCAAGAGATTCGAAAAGGCAACGCCGCATCCGAAGAAAACGAGGCAGAAAAAACCCAGGGGGTGGTCGATGGTTTTGGCGGGAAACAATACGGCAGTGAGGAACACGCGGCTGCCGTTCAGATACAAGCTGGTTGCCGTGGTTACATTACTCGTAAAGAGCTGAAGATGCGAGACGAGGCCGCGATCAAAATTCAAGCTGGTTATCGAGGTTACGCGGTCCGGAAAGGGTTGAAACAGAGTTCCGAAAGGTCAAACTTGGATAGAATCGACGAAGAAGTTCCAAAGGCTAATGAGGGCAATGAGGAGTTAGTGAGTAATGAAGAGGTAGAAGCCACGGCTATTAAAATTCAGTCCGCATTCAGGGGCCATCGAACAAGGGAAGCAGTGCTCAGTAAAAAAGAAAAGGAAGAGAACGCTACTGACACCAAAGAGGAAGGCAACAGAGTGACAGAAAGGGAGCCTGATCTGGCTGCTATTAAAATCCAGTCAAGCTATCGTGGTTACCACACTAGAAAACAGATACAAGAAAGGGGGGAAGCAGCCACGAAAATTCAAGCTTATTACAAAGGTTACAGGGTCCGAGGGCTTCGTCGTGCGCAGTCGGAAGCTGCCGTCAAGATACAAAGTTACTACCGAGGATATAAGACAAGAGAACAGTTTAAAAAGAGTTATTCCTCGAAAAACTTCCTGGCCGTTTCAAACGACGATGAGTTTGCCCTTCACAGGGACAGTCGAACATCGTTCAGTCTTCCCGAAGGCGTGAAATTTGAGGGAACCCTTGACGAGGACAGCGACTCGGAGATCGATAAGATGGTGGGTCAGTTGGAAGAAAAGCAGAAATTGAAAGCAATCGAAGAAGCTTCAAGTCCCGATGCTGCAACGAAAGACAAGGGCGGTGAAGATAAACCAACTGCTGATTCATAAAATGATAATGAATGATACAATGGGTTTCAGGGATTTCATTCGTAGACAAAAACTTATGAACCACCTTGAATAGCATTAATTACAACAAGGAATTAACTGCTAATACAGTAGTCTCAAAGCAAGCTACAAACGTTTACTTGGAACACTTCGTGGTGGCATATGGGGGGGGGGAGGGAAAGGGGGGTGATCGCTCAGAAGAATCGAAGCACGGGGTTCTCTTCCGAGAAGAGGTCCGGACACATCTACTTTAGGGAAGATAATCAGTTTATTGCATGCGATTTTTAAGTTATGATATGTGTAGATATGTGTGTTGTCACTAAAAGTTCTTCGTATTTTTTACGTAGTGTTTTACGTACAGCGAACACAGAGATCAGAGAAAGCGTCATGGTCGCTTACAAGAAGTTAACAGCAATGGAAAATTGTTAACTGTCAGCCCCGAAAAGTTGTCCTGGCCCGGGGGGGTACTCGATATATCCCTGGGTGGGGAGGTGCGGCGCGGCCCCTCATACCCTGACCCTGTTTAAGACAAATATCGCTGATTTTCCCACCCTGTTTAAGACAGAATTCCGATTTTTGATACCCTGTTTAAGACATTAACTAACATTAGAACTTGTAAAAATTTTGCTGTTTATCGTCCAAGAAAAGATATCCTGTTTAAGACAAAAATTGATAAATCGATACCCTGATTAAGACAAAAAATGATAAATTCGATACCCTGTTTAAGACAAAAATCCCGAAAAACATACCCTGGCTGGCCGCACGTCCCCATTAAGCCCTTATAAGGGAGTACCACCCCCCCGGGTGTCCTGGTCACTTCAGAGAGGTCGTCGTTTACATGAGGTGCCAACTGTAAGGCTTTGACTAAGAAAATTTTGGTGTTTTTGATAGATGGTCGCTTACGAGAGATGGTCGCACATGGAGGTTCGACTGTATATCGACATCAATTGTTTTTACTCAAGATTGAAGAGCTTTACATCGGTTTTATAACTATGCAGCGTGTTAAACAATAAAAATGCAAGCAATGGAGATTTTGGCTTTGATCTAGTTTACTCTCACTCAGTTTGATTTATGCTTAAAATTAAGGGGATGTTCTTGAGTAGACTGTTCACAGTCCCCTATTTTTCCGTAAGATCATCGAGATACAGCGCTTTGCGTTAAGGGCTGCCATCTTCCATGAGTGTCAAAACTACTTACGGGGAGGGGGCAGTTTTCTCGCCCCCCCCCCGCCCCCGCCTAGAGCTATAATCCCCTACGTCCACCCCCTCGGTACATTTGAAAATCAAGATAGCCGTGACGGTAAGACGCGTTAAATCTAAACGATCTCACGAAAAAATAGGGGACTGTGAACAGTCTAGTTCTTAAGTGGTGGCTGTATGATAAGTTATAACCAGGGGCACCCAACGAGGGAATATAGTTCAAAACCACTTTAACATAGCATTGTTAAACGTATTTTTGAATTTAAACGGTAGATATCCGCTAAAAATGTTTCATCTGTTCGGATTTCTTAGCTGAAAGTTTAGTGATCATAATTTTATAGGGATCAAAACTTACCTTTTCGAAAATTTCAGCCAAAAAAAAAGGCTCCCGAAAATTCTAGGTGACCTTTAATTTTTAGGTAAAAAATCCGTTAAAAATGGGCAATTTTACCATTTTTTAGATGTTCGAAAACCCTAGGAGAGGCAGGCAAGCAAGAAACTTTACAAAAAATGTTCCGAAAATTCTGGATCTCAAATCGTCTTCCGAACAAATATTTTCTGAAAATTGACGCCGGGTGCCCCTGTTAAGGGATATTTTATCGCGATGTAATGTCGGGTATCATGAAGATTCCTTTATTAGTTGTTTAGAATTACATTACAAGTTCGACGTTTAAAATAATCATCAACATAAACCTTCCTCTGTCATGAATTTGTTCTTAAACAAATTTGTTCTATTTTAGTACCATTGCGCGACTTCCACGACAACCCGTTTATCGCAAAATAATGTAGGGTTTCCAACAAAGGCTTGTTTACATTAAAAAATATGGCATGGTTTGATCAGTTTTAACCTTAACTTGACCCCTTGTCTAGATTTCCATAACTCCTCCTCTTCTATCCTTATTTTGGTTGTTTTTTTTTTAAGCTCATTTCCCGTGTTTTCAATCGAATTCACACAGTTGATGGTTTTTACTTGAAATTTAAAATATTTTAATAAAAATAGTGTAGAATATCTCCCATACGTCCTCTGAGTTTTTCGATCACTTCCGTAGTTAATTTATGGAAACGTTTTAGCCAATCATTTTCGATGAAGAAGCTTAACACCCTCTGTAAATCGACAACAACCTGAGAATTTAGTATTTTCCTTTCTGTTATTATCAAAACCTTGTATACCTACCTACGTAGTCAATCGAACGTTTGGTAATCGAACCCAATCGAACCCAATCGCTCGATTGGGTTCGGTAATCGAACTTAATCGAACTCACAAAAAAATTTTGCCAATCGAACGCAATCGAATGTTCGGTAATCGAACAGTTCAACAATCGAACATAATCGAACTCAATCGAACATGATCGAACACCTCAACAATCAGAAACAAACCAGTTTCATCTGGACTGAAACAAAGCGTTGCGGTCAAATATATATCTCTCACGCTTGCTCCTCTAGTTAAAACTCAGTTAAAGAGTGAATTCCTTCCAATTCTACTAAGAGTTAATGCTTATCAATTTGTATACCATTTTGTTTTTCTAGCGAACAAAATCGAACCAATCGCGTCGATTGAGTTCGATTGGGTTCGGTAATCGAACTTAATCGAACTCACAAAAAAGCTCCAGTTCGATTATGTTCGATTGCCGAACCAATCGAACTTCAATCGAACGATTGGGTTCGATTGGGTTCGATTGGTTTTTGGTTCGGTTTCTTTCGATTGACTACGCCGGGTGTATACAAGCAGTTACTTTGTAATTTTTTTATTGGTCACCTCGTTTTATATTGACTAGACAACCCAAGCTTCATACTGAAAATTCGGGTTAAAAGATCACTTTGACTGGTCTGGTCATTTCAGTCGGTTGGACCGAAATGTCCTTTTCCATTTGACAAAATTGTTGCCCCCAGTACCGCTCTTTTGTATCCTGCTTGCAAGAAGTCTGTGGAACCGGAAAATGTACCATTCCACTGGGCACGTGTTGGGTGTTACGAAAACTAAGACCCTCGAAAACTAAGACCTAAGACCTAAGACCCGTCTTAGTTTTCGAGATTACGAAAACTAAGGCCCCCTAAAATAGAATCTGTCAAAATATGAGGTCATGGAAATCGGATGAAACACTGCTTAGTATTTGCATCCTTAATTTCTCCTTCAAAAATGATTTTGTTTGAGAAGAAATATCAAACATTCGACACAGTGTTTCATCACCAGATGAAACACCTCGAAGTTCGTCAAAAATACTCCGCTGCGCGTCGTATTTTCAACTCTCTTCTCGGTGTTTCATCTGGTGATGAAACACTGCATCTCATGTTTGATATATTACATGAAGTCGAATTACGACCGTTCAAATACTATAATCCGTAAAACAACCAAATCCTATCATCCGCGTGCTGACAATCCGCTTCTTCTAAAAATTTGCAGACATATCAATCAGTTATGAGGCTTAAAAAAGAGGATGAAAAACCATAGACTACCTGTGTATAATTGTACACTGAAAATATGCCTTATCCCGCCGATTGGTCAATAATATTGGTTGTTTATCCATAAAAATCGTAAAATCGGCTTTCCTCGTGCTGGATATGGATTTTTACCTTCGTGTCTCCGCCACAGTGATTGCGTTACCTGAAATACAAGGAGCGTTTTGTAATGATTGCTTGTGAAGAGCCCATTATGGCTCTTGTTGTTTGTCTATTTTATTTTTTCTGAAATTAAAACCCAAAATTTTCGAGATGATGCCTTGTTAGTACAGGAAATTTGTTCATTCATTCATTTTATATTTAATTTTAATAAGTGATTTTAGCCAGTAGAAGAATCGGACAGAAGATAAATTGACAGATTAGACCTATTTCGGTTACAATTTGACTTCATATTTCGACTGATTCGATTTTAGGGGGGTCTTAGTTTACGTAATCTCGAAAACTAAGACGGGTCTTAGGTCTTAGGTCTTAGTTTTCCAGGGTCTTAGTTTTCGTAACACCAACGTGAAATTTCCGAAATTTCAAACCGGAATTTTTGTTGAATGGAAAGCGGCCCTCGTCTCACTAGTATGTCGGTCTAGTATGTCACTGGTATGTCACCGGTAAGGTACATGTGACCCATGTAGCCGTGTGGTAAATAAAACAAAACTGAATGCAAGGCTGACAATACAGGTGGCATGATAGAAAGTCACGTGAAACTACACGTGAAATCTCACGCTCAGAAGATGAAGTTATACGGTACAGTTCAAGGTTCATCAAAGCGGTTTAAATCGTCTGGTGAAAGTGTTTAGCCTCTATTTACGAAGTGAGCTTCTCTTGCTTTACGGCGTGACATACTAAGTGTAGGTTGAAGTTCAAATAGAATAAGTTCTTTGTCTGTGATCGAGTGGCCAGGTTGTTTGAAGTGCGGAGGAACTGACACTATCGAAATCCTGCAAAATATATCGTCTATATCGGGCACCAGATGTAGCTTGTAGTGGATTGCCCAGGGGGGGCACTCCGGATTTCAAGTGATAGGGATGATCGAAGGATTTTTTTGGGTTTGAAACTTTCGAGTCCGGGATTTTTCTGGGTAGCAAATTTGGGAAGCATTTTTTTTCGGTGGCTTGATTTAAGTAGGGATTTTTTTGAGTATTTAAAACAATCTGAAGACTCGTGGTAGTGCTCGTGTGACAACTTCAGATAGCATGATGAAGAAACAAACACAAACAATCAATTTCTGTTTTATTTTTTGTTACATCATTTAATGCCTTCTGGAAATTTTCAAGGCTCGGAAATTTGGAATGTGATTTTTTGGGGTCAATTTTTTGTCCAGGGATTTTCTGGGGTTTTGTTGGAAGCCCGAGGGAGTTTTTTGGGTTTTGATTTTTGCCGCCATTCGATCCCGGGGGGGGACTCCCATATGAAACAGCCGGGGATGCTCGTCGTCTCGCTTAGGGGTGTAAATTTTGGATTTTGGTCTCGCTTAGGGTGTTCCGGGCAAAGCAAAGTTTAGGGTTCCGCG